AAGTCCAGGAAGGCCTCAACGTTTCATTGCGCTCTGGTACGATTGCGTCGGCCTGTCCTCCATCATCATCATCATCATCATCATCATCATCATCATCTCTCTCAACCTCTCCGTCTAGGTACGTCGGTGCAGATTCTGCCGACCAAGACGCCAGCTTGGGACTCGATTCACGGCTCGCTGCTCGTGGTCATGCAGCTGCTTCAAAACACGGGCAGCTTTATGGTGCCCCGATTCCGCGAGGTGCTTCCTTTCTTCGCGTCGATCGTCCTCATGATGGAGACTATTGTCCTCTAGGTGTGCGACATTGTCTTGTGCTACAAGGACTCGCGCGACAAACTCGTTGCGCGGTCCGTGTGCCTGCTCTTGCCGCAGCTCGCAGCGTACTGCCCCGGTATCGACCCGTCGGCCTCTTTCAATCGCACACTATCTATGGTGTCTAGACGCGTTTGTCCGACACTATTTGAGCACGTGCGTGACGCACCTCATGAAGCGCATGACGACGTACGTCTCGGCAGCCGAGCGAGGCGTCGCGTTCCTTGCGCTCGGCCACCTCGCCTTGTCGGTCGGCGGTACGCAGCTTTCTTTTGTATTTTATTTATTTGTCGCCTTTTGCTCATTTTTCAATGGTTTATAGACCACTTGGTGCCGCAGCTGCCGAGCATCGTCGAGCTCCTCCAGGACGGCATGAAGCGCAACCGGTACTTTTGCATCGAGACGCTCATGTGCGTGGCGCACTTTACGCGCGCGTGCGGCGCTGCGTTCGAGCCGTACTTGCCGTCGCTGGTCGACCAAATGATGGAAGGCGGGCTCAACGACCCGCTCGTCGAGGCGCTCGCCGACATCACCAAGACCGTGCCACTGCTCTTGACGGGCGTCCAAGAGCGACTCCTCAACGAAATTTCGCTCGTCTTGCGCGGTAGCTCCTCTCGCCTCCCTTGCGAACGGTCCACGAATCTTAGAAATTCGGTAGGCGTGACGTTTGCGCCGTCACTCGACGACAAGCCAATGAAAGCGCGCAAGGCCGGCCGGCGGGACGAAGCGTCACCGGCCGCCCTCTCGCTCTCGCTCAAGACGCTGAGCTGGTTCAACTTTCACGGCCCGTTTTCGATTCTACCGTTCGTGCGCGACAGCGTCTGCTTGTACCTCACGCACCACGACATGACGGTCCGCAAGCAAGGTACGACGACGACGCTGTCATGGCACTGACACGGACACGGTAGCTGTGGTGGCGTGCGCCAAGCTGCTCTTACCGACGGCCGTGCCCAAACGCGGTCCCAGCGGCCGCGTGATCGACGAGGTCTTGCAGCAGCTGCTACAGGTAGGCGCATCGTGACGTGCTTGCGATGTTGATGGCGATGACAATGACAATGTAGGTGGGCATTTCGGACGTCGACTCGAACGTCCGGAAGAGTGTTGTCGAGTCGCTGGACGCGCGTTTTGACGAGTGGCTGAGCCAAGAGACGCACTTGACTCTGCTCTTCTTCCTCCTCAACGACGGTGTGTGGAAACTATTGTCTATCAAACTGGACACTTTTGTCGATACACGCATTCAACTTAGAAACCCCGAGTATCCGAGAAGGCACCATGTGTCTTTTGGAGCGTCTCGCGCCGCTTAACCCTGCGTTTATCTTGCCATTGCTGCGCCGCGTCTTGGTCCAAGTACGGGATTTGATGAGGATCGAAGCGGGGACCAGGGGATGCTATCTGTAGCTGCTCACGGAGCTCGAGCACGCGATGGATCTGCGCATGCTCGAAGACAGCACACGTCTCCTCGGGCGCCTCATTCGCGGCTCGCAGCACCTCATCGAGCCGTACCTTGGCCGCGTCCTGCAGGTGGCGCCGATATGCGGTTTGTATCGGGGTATCCATCCTGCACGTCTCTAGGTGCTCTTGCCCAAGATCCAGCATGGGAATGCGATGCAGCAGAACCTCGCCAGCGCCGTCTTGACGACCATTGGCGAGCTGGCGCTTGCGGTGCACGTGCGTATCTCGTTGTTTTCAACCAGAACGATGCGATCTCTACTACGTAGGAGCCCATGGCGGCGTACGAGCCCGCGCTGTTGCCACTGATTCTCGACGCCCTCCAAGACCACGGGTCGATCCAGAAGCGTCAGGTGGCGCTGGTGACGCTCGGGCAGCTGGTAC